TTGTCCCTTATTCCATTTGTTATTCAATCTTCGTTTATGATTCTAAGTGAGTAGAGTTGTGTATTAGAATGCCAATTTATTTTGTACTTTAATGTTTGTTGATTTGGGGCCTCTGAGCTCCTATTAAATTTGTAATTGATATTGTCGGGTTTGTTCCCGGTCCTTTTTTGATCTGTTAGTTTGAATTCCCCTTTCTTTCTCCTATTTACGGAGTTGGGATCTTTCGCGTCAAAATTAGTCCGGCTTTATTGTCGTGACTTTGATTTTTGAATAGTTTCCTTCGCTTGAATACTTGATTTTGGCGAGTTGGTGTTTGCTTCTTTAATTTTGAGCTCAAATTCTCTTGGCGTGACTGTTTATCTTGACTTGGCTTCTTTATGGAAACAGTATCATTTGCAGTTGCTCTTGTATTTGACATCTTTTGTCGTAATCTTAAGCTTGCGAAGGCAATGTTCGCCTCCTTGGCTTTGAGCTCGGCGACGTTTGTCATGGGTTTTTTTTTTATATAAGCCTCACTTCTTTGGTGATGACTTTTTCATCTGAGCCCGACTTACTTCGTCGTGGCTCTTTACTTTGAGCCCCGCTTCATTAACGGTTGATTTTTTATTTGAGCTCGGCCTATTGGGTCATGAGCCTTAACTCTAGGATGTATTTGACTTCGTTGCCAAAATCTTGAATAGGAGTCAGGCATCGTCTGCCGAGTCTTTCTTATATCGACCTGGCTTTGTTGTCGCAGTCTTAAGTTACTAGGATGGTTTTCAGCCTTCTTCATTTTGATCTCGGCATCACATGCCGTGACTTTCTTTAAATTGACTTGGCTTTTGCCTTGTCTATGCTTTTGAAGGCAGTATCTTTGCCTTTCTGATTTTACCCCGGCTTAACATACCGTGACTTTACTGTTGGACTAGACTTTTTGCCAATCTTATTTGCGCAGGTTATATTCACCTTCTTGAGCTCGGTTTATCATACTGTGGCTTTTGTATTTGTGACTTGGCCATAGTCGCTTTATATTTCTGGCATTGACTTTTACCATATTTTGTTTGAGCCTGGCTTCGCATACTGTGGCTTTTAATTGTGACTTGGCTTCTTTTTCCGAAGTCTTATATTTAAGGAGGCAGAGTTTGCCTCTTTGAGTTGTTGAAGCTTGGCTTCTTCTGCCGTGGCTTTTTACTTTGAGCAATGCTTCATTAGCGGTGGCCTTTTTATCTGAAATTGACTTCTTACCCCGTGGTTTTCTTATCTTGAACCCCGCTTCATGTGCGGTGGATTTTTGATTTGAGGCTGACCTGTTGGGCTGCAAACTTTGTCATTTGGCTTTGTTTCCAAAATCTTGAATAGGAGCCCGACATTATATGCCGCCTCAATTTTTCTTTTATCTCAATTTGGGGTGTGATCATTTTCCAAGATCACGATCTCTCCAAATTTGTCTTCTCGGATTGGGGTGTGATCATTTTACTAGAATCACATATCTCTAATTCTGTCTTCATCTTTATCTCGGATCGGGGTGTGATCCTTTTGCTAGGATCACATTTCTCCATTTCTGTTTTCATTTTAATCTTAGATTGGGGTGTAATCGTTTTGCTAGGATCATATCTCTCCAATTCTGTCATTTTATTTATTATTATTATTTCGGATTGGGGTGTGATACTTTTGTTATGATCATATCTCTCGTTTTTCGTCTTCATTTTGATCTCGGAGCCTGAAGCTATGGCTATGGCTGAGTTGAATCTCAAGGCTGAGGCTAAACTTTAATCTTGAAGCCCTTGGCTGGGTTGAGTTGGAACTCAAGGTCGAGATCGAGCTATTAAACTTAAAGCCCTTAATTGGGCTGAGTAGAAGCTTTAGGCTAAGGCTGATCTTTTAAACTTTAAGCCCTTAGGTGGGTTGAGTTGAAACTCTAGGCTAAGATCGAGCTATTAAACTTTAAGCCCTTAGTTGGTCTAAGTTGGAGCTCAAGGCCGAGGCTGAGCTATTAATCTGGAAGCCCTTGGCTAGGTTGAATTGGAGCTCAAGGCCGAAGACGAGCTTTAATCTTGATGCCCTTGGCTAGGCTGAGTTGGAGCTCAAGGCCGAGCTATTAAACTTTAATCCCTTTGTTGGGATAAGCTCAAGGCTAAGGCAAGCTAATAAATTTGAAGTCCTTAGCTGGGCTGAGATGAAGCTCAAGGTTGAGGCCGAGCTTTTAATCTTGAATCCCTTCGTTAGGATGAGCTCAAGGCTGAGGCCGAGCTAATAAATTTGAAGCTTTTAGCTTAGCTGAGATGAAGCTCAACGCTGAGGTCGAGCTTTTAAACTTGGATCCCTTCGCTGAGATGAGCTCAAGGCTGAGGCCGAGCTAATAAAATTGAAGCCCTTAACTGGGTTGAGATAAAGCTCAAGGCTGAAGTCAAGCTTATAATCTTGAATCCCTTCATTGGGATAAGCTCAAGGCTGAGGCCGAGCTAATAAATTTGAAGCCCTTAGCTGAGCTGTGATAAAGCTCAATGTTGAGGCCGAGCTGATAATTATAAAGCCCTTGGCTGGGCTGAGTTGGAGCTCAAAGTCGAGACCGAACTGTTAAACTTTAAGCCCTCTTTTGGATTGAAGCTGGGTTATTAATGGTCTGCCAGTTTCCTAGCCCACAAAATTTGAGATGATACTTTCTTTAGTAAAGAATTCAAAATTCCTATGTACCTTTTTCTCTATGATTTAATGACCTCTAAGTCTTCACTTGCTCCATCAAGAATTGCGACGATGAGAATCTCTGTCAAATCGTCACTTGCTTGGATCTGGAGCTCCATTCTAAAGTCTCTTGGAAGATCAAAAGCTTTTTTTTGCGGTAGGGTTTGTCTCCTCATATATATATATATATATATATATATATATATATATATATATATATATATGGTTTTAGCAATTTCAGGGTGCTCGAGGCAGCCTGCAATTTGTGGCTTCGCGCTATGCCGAAATTTGCTGATTCCCACATACGGCGCTAATGTTCGGTCTTAAAGAACCATAAATCTATATCGTATGCTATGCGCTCAGAGATATCTTAGAGATAGATATCTTGATTGATTTATAGCCAATACTCCAATCACTGTGCACAAGCAATAGGCCTATAGCCAAGACGTGGGTGTGTGCACAGTGTTGGCAGTAACAATAAATAGGTCAAAGGTGTGTACCTGAGGTCTTTAACCTCTTATTTATAAGGATTACCTTCATAGGCTTGGGCCTTTGAGATCTCCTAGTTGATATGAAATCTGCCTTGATTGATAGGGATAGAGATCTTATCCCTTGATCAAACCAATTTTTAAAATCAATTTCGTTTAGTCTAGGTGGACCGTGAATGCTCACCAAATGGGTGATTGATCAATATCAAATCTGTATGCTCATAGGTATCTACGAGAGAGATACCGTAAAGGTGTATAGATCACTCTGCACTTAAACGTTACGATGTTAGCCAAGGCATTGTGCGTGTGCATAGTGATGGCAGAAGTAAAATAAGCCAAAAGTATGTACCTGATGATTGTGACCCTATTTATAATGGGTTACCTAGTTGGGCTTCTATTTAGTTTGTTGTGAGGTTGTTATGAAGTCCTATATATCCTATTGTTAGTAGTTTGACTTGAGTTCCTCCATCCATCACTGTTAGTGAGCTTATCTATTTGTTGGGTTGTTTGGATAAGGATCCAATATTCTGTTCCATAACAGATTCGGTTTGTCAGAATGGAACCACTTATTTGGTTTAGTTTCGAAAACGGAACTAAATCGAACTGTACACATCCCTATCTCCCCTATGTTGTGACAAGTACTTTCTGCTTTGGTTAATTTTCCTTTAATCTGAAAAAAGAAAGAAAGAAAAACATAGCTTGTAAAGCATATATTACTTGCATTCATACATCCAGGCAGCAAATTTACTGAAGAGAAACCGTAGATTTAGATTGTTTAGAGCTTAGGGCTTGAATTCAGTAGTCAATTGGAACCATCTAAATATGTCTTGACTCCTCTTCTTTTCATTGGAATAATTATATCTCAATTGAGACTCAATTGAGAGACCGAAGAGCTAACTACTCTTAGGCAGCACCCAATGAAATATTGTCCGTCTTCATAATCTGCAAGAGAAAGGTTGTTTCATAAAGGCAAATAGCAATAAGAATAAGAGTTCAACGCCAACAAGATAAGAAGATATTCTCTTCAACAAAGAGCAACAATTATCATCAGACACAGTAATCCTTACATTATTGGAAACAAAAACTAATGTATGTTTCCTCGATTTTATTTTAAAAAATCAAATATTTGAGTGATCACTTCTTCTCTTTTCACCAATATGCACTACTAGAAAAGTTCATTTTTTCGACGGAATTTTTTTGTCAAAAATGGTGAAAATTCTGTCGAAAATTATATTTTCGACGGAATTCAGGCCGTGGAATTTTTCTTCGTTGATAACAAAATTTTCCACGGAATTAAATATTCCGTCGAAAATTTTCGACGGAAAATCAATGAAATTCCGTCGAAAATTATTGTCGAAAATTTTCGACAGAAAATGGATTCCGTCGAAAATTATCGACAGAAAATCAATGAAATTCCGTCAAAAATCGTTGTAATTGTCTTCGACGAAAAATGAATTCCGTGGAAAATTTTCGACGGAAAATTAATGAAATTCCGTCAAAAATTGTTGTAATGGTTTTCGACGGAAAATGGATTCTGTCGAAAATTTTCGACGAAAAATAATGAAATTCCGTCAAAAATTGTTGTAATGGTTTTCGACGGAAAATGGATTCCGTCGAAAATTATAGGATTTTTTTAAAAAAATTCTCTTTACAAAATTAATACCAAATTCTATAATTTACCTAATAAAAAATATAATCAAAGTAAATAACATATCAAAATAAAATCTTCTTAATGAATACAATAAATGAACAAAAGTCCATATCATATATTAGGCTAATTATCAAAAAAGACTTATACAATTAACGAGCGATGTACAATTAGTATATACTGTAATATGTATAAAATAAAAAAAAAAATTAACATATCAATACACAATGTAAAAATGACTTCATAATTCAACGAAACAATTTCCTCTCAGTCATTTTTTAACTTCACATCAATACACAATCCTTCTTTTACAAAAGATATAATATTCAACTTCACCAAGTACCCAAACCTAAGAGTGCTAAGCTTTGCAAACGTGGAATCAGAAGCCTCGTCTTCATACACATGAATAATGATTTTAAGTGACTGAACTTGAAATATTTTTCTTTGGTCAAGGTTCTACTTGACTTGAATCCTCCTTGGCATTTTTCTCTGTCTCTGACCATCATCTTCTTCTTCATCAGGAGCATTATAAGACAATTTGAAACTGTCCGCGATGGGGGAAGTTCCTGATTAATAAAATCACATCATAATGAATCCCAAAATATTCTAATTTTGATCAAAATAAAGAAATGTAATTCTATATTGAAATATTCAAATGCTAAAGCAATTCCAAAGCCATATGAGGTACATGCATAGAAAGATTACAAACAATAATATTAAATAACTTAGTGTCTATATTAATTATAACTTATTAACACAAAATAACCATGAATCACATTTTAATAGTCTCAGAACCCTCAACCACTGATTCGAATCCAGGAGCAATATTAGAAGTTAGGCAGTTTTAACAAAACTTCATCAGCCAATCAGTCAAGATATATTGCACATTTCTAAAAGACAAAAAAGGCTCCTCCCAGTTTTATGCTAAGAAAAAAACAAAAAAATATAAAAAAAATATTAAAAGACAAAAAGAACATGCTAGTAGTCCCTTTAAGCTCTAATGACATATGTGAGTAAGATGATACACGATCTTTAGAGAAATAGTAAGAAAGAAGGCAAAGTTACCTTTAAACCTCTCACCACTCTAGCTCAAAACTTTTGCCTCCTCAAGATCATCACAGACAAGAGTACTCCCCACAGCAAAGAGAATTGCCAAGCAATCGATTCAGTCCATTATTACTAAGTCCTTAAGCACGCAAAAGACATCTTGAAAAAAGAACTTATGCTTAAAATCAAAACCAAAAGCTTAACAAATATCTTAATTCATCAACGAATCAACTATAAACTATATATATATATATATATATATATATATATATATATATATATATATATATCAACGAAACTTTACTAATCAACTTCACTTTTTTGATATATATATATATATATATATATATATATATATATATATATACTTCATATGCAATCCTTATGCCTTCATATGCAATCCACGGTCCACACTCATTCATCTCTAAAGGCAGTTTTAGTTCCATTTTCTTGAAACCAAGGAAGTCCATGAAACAGAAAAATAAAAGGACATTATCTAAAGCTAAGGATTAGGTACTTAGGTTTAAATTTTACTCTCTCTCTCTAGCCATATATAACCATAAAAAATGGCTAGGGAATCAAAAAGAAGTTCAATAACATAGAAGAGTGACCATAGTTAATTTACCTGCTGCAGTTGTAAGTGTCCACTTGTCGTCATCATTGGAAACTAGCCATACATGGTAACCAAGTAGCTTCTTTTCCCTGGCATATGATACCTTCTTTAGGACAACCTCAACGTCGTCTAATCCATAAAGCCTAGCCATTCTTATTGAAGATTGAATGAAGGGTTTCCTAGAAGTAACATTGGTAATCATGGATTGGATGGAAGTAGAAAAGTGTTGCTCATTTGATGAGAAGACAGAGAGCTCATAAGAGGAAGTGTTCACCTCAGCAAAAGCGCATATCAGGTGAGTATAGAGGGTAGAGTTTATATCTGATATGGGAAATTCACTACCATTGTACCAGTAACCAATTTTGACCAAGAATTGCCACATGCCCCACAAATTGCCACACCCCATCCACTCACTCCTCGGCTAAACTCTCCCTATTTGACCAAGAAATCTGAATTGTTACAAACACCAAGTTAATTGATTGGCAAAGTTCTTAAAACCAACCGAAGGCAACCCAAAGAAGAACCATCAAGCGTATTCCCCATCATCCTAGTTCCACACTTACTGCTTTCGACTCTCACAGCCCCCAAGTGTCATTTACATCCACGGTTCCTTTTCTTACCAACCGAGGTACACAACCACCTATTACCTTCATCAACCTCCAAGGCTAGGTTGTCTAGATATCTGATCAGGTTCAAATGCAATGTACTATAATTATACCCCATATATGTCAACATCATCATCAAAATAAAACATAACAGGAAATCTTATAGTGCTGAGTTCCTCACAGAGGTAGAGTCCTGTGGTCTCAGGCATGTGATAGTGGCCCTGGCCAAGATAAAGAGTCAAATAACAAAAAAGGACAAACACAAGCTTCAATAAGTGTTTAAGAGCCATCCGATTGCTTGGAAGCACAAGAGCCAATCTGGTGGCATGCCCTGTATGATTCCCGCAAAGTTCTTTTAGCTCTTAACCTCTCTCCTTTTTTTCTCCTCTCATTTTAGGACTAGTTAAAATCATTTACTCAATTCTGAATTTAATTTTAACTATGCAAAGACAACCTAACCAAATCGCAAATATAAAAAAATAAAAAAATCCAGAAAAATTTCATGAGAAAGAGGGATAAAAAGGGGACCTGTGAGCGACTTGAAGAAGGGAGCGAGCGTCTTCGTTTCTAAGAGAGAGGGCCTGACACTGCTTCGATCATTGACCCCTCGAATACCATCCTGTTGCCACCGCCGAAGATGCTAAACGGCTCTTCCCCAAATGCTTGCACCCTAATTCGAAGTCACGCCTGCAGATTCCCCAAAAATTTACTCTTCACATCTAGCGTCCCTTTCTGCCGGTGAATGTTTCTTCTCTGCTTTAGAGGGTGACGGCGCAGCAGCTTTGCCTCCGTAGCTTAAATTGAGCTTGTCCCAAACCTATTAGAGACTCGAAAACATTTTGAGAGATAACTTTAGGAGAAGAGGGAAACTTTGGAAGGGAAACGAAAAATAATAATTTTTTTTACATTTATTTTATCCATTTATTTTCGACGGAATTAATTAACTTTATGTCGAAAACCCCCATAATATAATTTCTTTTGCAATTTATTTTATTCATCCGTTTTTTACGGAATTAACTTTTCGTCGAAAACCCCACAAATATTCTGTCGAAGATTTTCGACGGAATTAACTTTCCGTTGAAAACCCCCACAAATATAATTTCTTTTGCAATTTATTTTATTCATCCGTTTTCGACGGAATTCGTTTCCGTCGAAGATTTTCAACGGAATTAACTTTCCGTCGAAAACCCCCACAAATATAATTTCTTTTGCAATTTATTTTATTCATCCGTTTTCGACGGAATGCATTTTCCGTCGAAGATTTTCGACGGAATTAACTTTCCGTCGAAAACCCCCACAAATATAATTTCTTTTGCAATTTATTTTATTCATCCGTTTTCGACGGAATTCATTTTCCGTCGAAGATTTTCGACGGAATTAACTTTCCGTCGAAAACCCCCACAAATATAATTTCTTTTCCAATTTATTTTATTCAGCCGTTTTCGACGGAATTCATTTTCCGTCGAAGATTTTCGACGGATTTTGTTTTCCGTTGAAAATTTTCAACTGAATATTTTTTTCGTGGAAAATATTCGACGGAATAAGTTTTTTGTCAAAAATTCCGTAGTTAATTTTGACGGAATATTTTCCGTCGAAAATTTCCGTCGAAAATAAAGACTTTTCTAGTAGTGATGTACCATTCAGTGCTATATCAGAGACAGTCCACAAAATTTTAAAACTTCTTGTAGCGAAGCATATCAGAACAATCCTGCACATACTTTTCAACTAAATAATATAATAGCAAACATGTATCAACTTATATTAAGTCTGAAAACAGTAATTTCCTTTTCTGTTAATTCATCTACACGATACACATGTAAAGGTAAAAAAGCAAAGTATAATTAATAATTGTTAAAGTAACTCTTAAATTATAACAATTATTGATTGCTAAATTAACTCCTAAGCATAGCAATTACATCCTAAATTATACTAGTTATAGATCATGTTAACATCCTAAATTATATAGCAATTGCCACTCATACTAACAATATAATTATTATTGATTAAAAAATTTGATAAAGTATATATATTTTAATAATTTCATAATTCATTATATATATAACTATATTTTATCATAATTTTAACTATTATTTTTTTAATTAGTGATTATAAGATGCAATTTATCCTATAAAATATATATAGCACAATCCAAATTCCTATTCCTCATATCTAATGTTGTAATTCCAAAAATGATTAGGCTATAATTTTCTTTTCAAAGGAAGTCTTATTTTATTTTATTTTTTTGGGAAACGACAGAGTCTTAAATCTTAATTCTTATTATAACTGGGTAATACATCAGCACATATGTAAACAAATCGTGATCATATTGCAATAAACTATACGTACACCAATATTTTCTATTTTTGATTTTTGATTTTTTGATAAACAAAGCGTTAAATAACTTGACATGCCATCGTGAAGGATCTGATTCCTTCTAAAGTACGTCGCTTCTTTTGAGTTGATTACTTCATTAATTAATTTACTATTTCGGATGATTAATTAAGAAAATGTCAAACTAATTGAACTTAATCGGTAATGGGGTCGGGGGGAACTTTACCAGCAACCTGCATCGCCTACATAAAATGCTATATTCACAATCCATAAACTCAAACTCACACATCACAAAGCAATTTGCTATTTTCTTCCTTTCATCACTTCTTGCATTAGTCTTTTCTATCATCATGGGTGTTTTCACTTATGAAGGCGAGCGCGTTTTTTCCATCGCTCCTGCAATACTATACAAAGCCGTTGTCCTGGATTTTAGCAAAGTCCTCCCAAAAGCTTTACCAGACTTTATTAAGAGTGTTGAAATCATTGAAGGCGATGGAGGGCCGGGATCCATTAAGAAGCTCACTCTTGCTGAAGGTAAATTATGTTTAACTATGTATGGAATATTGAGTCTTAGATATATTAATAAAAACATCATTAATATGTTCAACACTTACCACCTTAATTTATTGGGTTGAATTATTTTAGAGAAGTATAAATCATTAAAAAGACTCTCATCCATCAGCTTAAGCTTTTGGGATGAATTGATTCTTTATATGATATCAGAGCCTCAAAATTACGAGTTTAATCCTTATCGTTCCCTTTTAATTAATAATTAATTAAGTCTGGTGAAGTTTTTTATTAGCATCGGTAGGTGAGTTTGTGCATTGTCCACCATTTAAGTCCAGTAGATTCTCGTGTAAGGGAGCATGATAGATATAAAATCATTAATGTAAATCTTACCTAACAGTATAAGACCATTATGTAAGTTTAATCCTCACCGTACCTCCCCATTTTTTAGAGTATGTGCATTATTCATTTTTTAAGTCCAAGAGCTCTTTTGTGTATCATTCACCTTTCAAATTGAGAACTCTTAGGTGAAAATATGCCTTGAATTGAAATGATTCTTTATATTTAGATAATATTGTAAAACTATTTGTGTCTCATGTGTAACGTGTGTCAATCGGTTTAATTAAATAATAAAAGAGGCTTTATGGTAATTGACGTTTCGCATTAATGGTAATTGACGTTTTGACATTTTGCATTATGGTAACGTTTTACATTAATGGTAATTGACGTTTTGACGTTTCGCATTAATGGGAAGTTACAGGGAGTTATTTGAAACTCCGTAACTGGTGACATGGTTCAGTTATATAAAGAGAAAAATGGTGAGTCTCTGTGTTTTTTATCTCTCAGAATTCTCTCCTTCATGGTCTGCCCATAAAAGTTGTATCAGATCCCTGTCATAGACGATACAAGAAAAGCAGAGGGTAAAGACTCTGAGAAACAATCTTCCATCATCAAAGTTCTTCATCAGAGTTCTTCCGCACTAATGGAGAAAGGTACGCTCTTATGTGAAAATCATGAATTCTAAAGATCCTGTATCATGTTCTTGAATGATCATTGTTGAACATGAATCATGAATTACTGATTAAATTACTTACATGTGGTATCAGAGCCAGTGTTTAAGAATTTGTGTTTTTCCATAAATAATTATGAATGAATTTCTGATTCATGAAAAGTTAGGGTTTTTGATTCACGATCATCTTTTGAATTTTGCGTTCATATTACGGTTTGCATATTGATTTGAAATGCATATGTCAAATACTGCATTTTATGATGTCGCGAGTTCTGAAGAAAACAATTTCGAATTGATTTTGTATTTCACAAAAGGACGAAAACGAAAACATGAAGTCCCTTTACGTTAATATGAATTTGATGGTTTTCGTGTCATTTGCCATTCTCGGAAACGTATGCATTTGGGGGTTGAATGGAATTTCATTTGAAAATTGGTTGAATTAAAGCATTTGCCATTCTCGGTTTTCGAGTTTTGAAGCAAAATTTTGATTTGGTTTTGCAATACAATTACGTCGGTTTTCAATTCAATTCAATGTGAATATTTTTAATGCCATTCAATTCGATTCTGTGTCGTTTTCCGTTCCAATTCAATGCCATTCAATTTTTAATGCCATTCGATTTAATGGATAAAGGTACTGTATGTAAATATATATTATGATATTGAATGTGAAAATTGAATGATTATGTAATATTCACAGTTTTAAATTGAATGATTTTGTGATGTGGTTGGATTAAAATTAAATGTGAAAATTTAATCCTATTATTGTTTATGAAATATCAAAGTTTTGAAATTAATTATGGTAGATTTGTTAGTCACCAAAGTGGCCAAATCTTGAAGAGTTATTTTAATTTCAAATATCATGAATTTTATTTCAATTACCATGACTGTGATGCTATGAAGAGTATGAAATAATTTTCTGGTTGTGGTATATTGAAGTTCATTATTATAGGACAGTTAGGGATCAACCCAAAGGTTGATTATTTGTTTTATAAAATGAACATGGATGTTGGTATTGTTGGCATATTTTCTCACATTTGGACATCCAAAGATGGCAAATATTTATGATAGGGGTATGCATCATTGCCAAATTATGTGAAATTTATATAGCATCATTATAGTTAATGTTGTATGTTAATGGATCCCCAAAGGTGAACATTGATATGCATTGAAGTTAGTATATTTGAATCTGTGAATTATGTTAGTATGTGACATGTATGACTCAAAGCATTAATGTTTTTAAATGTTATTCCTCACAGTACCAGTTGCTACACATTCCATGTTCTCAACTGTTGTAGTTTTTAATGGGCTGAACTTCTCTGAATGGAAAGAGCAAATCAATTTTTACCTTGGGGTAATGGATATGGATTTGGCTCTTAGAGAAGAGGAACCTGGTGCTATTACTCCTGAAAGCACTGAGGATGAAAGGGATCATTTTAAGAACTGGGAAAGATCCAACAGATTAAGTCTGATGTACATGAAAATGAGCATAGCAAGCAACATTAAGTCAGCTCTTCCACAAACTGAAAGTGCCATCGAAATGATGAAACTTGTGGAAGAGCGCTCCCAAACCGCTGATAAGTCTCTTGCTGGGACACTTATGAGTACACTGACCACCATGAAGTTTGATGGTTCGCGTACTATGCATGAGCATGTTATTGAAATGACAAGCATTGCGGCAAAACTGAAAGCATTGGGAATGGATGTGGATGAGAACTTCCTGGTGCAGTTCGTATTGAACTCATTACCGTCTGAGTATGGTCCTTTCCAAATGAACTATAATACCATGAAAGACAAATGGAATGTGCATGAATTGCACAGTATGTTAGTTCAGGAGGAAATCAGACTTAAGAATCAGGGAGCTCATTCTATCAATTATGTAAAGCATCAAGGAGCTGAAAACAATAAAGGAAAGAAGCATGAGAAGAAAAGAGGAGGAGGAGGACCCCTTAAAGTGAATGAGGCCTCTTCTTCTAAAA